TCAGTGCTAACCTCCTCCCTGCATCCAGATTAGATTAGTTGTAAGCAAATTAGATGAACACCTATAAACTGGGATGATAATGATACCCTGAAAAGATGAACTAATTAATAATTATAATAATGAGAGAGGACAAAATAATATGCTATGTTTATTTAGTATCTGTCATTTGCGGAATATGGGGTAAGATATTGATGTCACCTGTGAATCATCCCTGCACTTTTATGAGAGAAGAAAGGACAAATGTTAGTTCGGAAAAAGCCAATCTGGGGCAAGGTTAACCAAGGAAGAACTACTGTAGAAGGGGGAGGTTTAAAAAATATGATGACTTTGAATATCAAAGATGGGCAGACATTCCCAGGAATGAAGGCTGCCCTTTGTCTCCAGGGCATTTGCTCAACCAGCCAGACATGTCCAGTTTGGATGGCATGATCATGCCCTTGATGCTGTACCCATGCACCCACGTTAATGTGATTTTTTGTCTACTCATAGCTTCTATTCTTTTGTAACCACCTCACCCCTAGTTTCCCAAAGTGTGCCTTGACAAGTACTGTTTTAGAAAAGATTATGTAGACAAATGCATTTTCATAACATTGGGCTAATCACAATCAGATTTCTTTAATTATAGGACTTTTCAAGGCCTTTAATATGCTAATATGTGCAGTAATTGTCCCAACAAACAAACAAAAGCCCCAAAAAACAAACCCACTGCTGTTGAACGGATTCTGGCTCATAGCAACCCTATAGGACAGAGTAGAACTACCCCATAGGATTTCCAAGGCTGTAAATCTTTATGGAAGCAGACTGCCACATCTTTCTCCTGAAGAGCTGCTGGTGGGTTTGAACTTTTGCTCAACAGCCAAGTGGTTTAACCACTATGCCACCAGGGCTCCTCAGTAAATGTCCAGGAGGGGTATATATTAGCTTGAACCATTTGAAATGAGTCAAAAATGATGAACATTGGCAATTTCATATAGTCCAACCTAATGTTATCCAGCATTTACAAACCTGCCTGACTATAGAATTCTTCTGGGGACAATTTCTTGCAGTACCAGTGACCTCAGAACTCACTTTGGGAACTACAGTCTTAGGTACTTTAGGTACTTTAGTCATGCATGTTGCTTGGACCCTGATGATGCTCAGATGGAACAGGGCAATGAGGAGAATAGAGTGGGAGGATCTCCACAAGGCAGATGGGGGAAGACCAACAGACCTCAGGACTGAATTTCCAGGAAGGCTGGCCCAATATTTCATTTCCCAACCCAATAAAAGTGCAGAAAATTCAAGTTAGTATATACAGAGTTACAACTGTTGCAGTGTTAAGATGAAAGGATTTTTTAAACTATAAAACTGCTTAAATATTTAGTTTGGTATATAAATATTCAATGGAAAAAGCAGAATACAAAAGGGTACACACTATTAGTAGCTATGTAAAACTTATTTGCATTTGGTTACAGACTTGAAAGGAGCAACAACAAAAAAATAATTGTTTACAATGCTAGAACCATGGATAACTTTTTGTTTTCTTTCTTCACAATCTCCTTGAATGTTATTATTATACTGTTTTCACAGTTAAAAAAAAAAAATCACATCGGTTATTCCTTAGGCTATGAGTCCATACCAGACAGTCCTCTGGGAAAATCCCAATGCCTCTTCTCGCATTCTTTCCAGGTGGGAGAGTAGTATTAAGGAGAAGATGACCAACCAGCATCTAGGACTTTGGTAAATTATGCCCCTTTGGTCACCTCATTGAGCTGGGTGGAGTCCAAGACCCAGGAGACAGGTAAAGCATTTACTCTGCAAGGCCCTCTGGCTCTCCACACAGATGAAGGATCAGCCCTCCTACATAGATCTCAAAACCTACAGGCATTCCCAGAACCCAATGGCTGCTTTCTAAAAGTCTGTGTTCAAGTTGGTTATATGAAGTTTTGAACAGGCTCCTATAGCAACTCAATTTATAAATATCAATTAGCTTTCTCAGAAAAGCCTCAAAATCTATTGAATCCCAAGGTTCCTAGAAGTACTGTGTACATTTATAGTGGAAAAGTAAAATAGTAGAAAACATTCCTGTCATAAACACACAATTTCAGCTACTATATGTATTTCATAGATTTATGTGGGCTGACTTGGGAATCTAACTTCCAAGCTATGTCCATGGGAAATGTCTTCCTAGTTTAACTTGGAATGATATCCGAACAGCCCCTCAGCAGTCTGTGGGTGAAGGGCGAGGTAGTCATAGCCCAAGGGAATCATGGAGCTGCTGACCAAAAAGGCATTGTGACTGAAGAACACTTCTCTGTCCTCAGGACTCAGTGGGGAATCCCTTTTTGTAAGGGACATTCTTGAGTCCTCTCCCCCTGACCCACTCCCAAAGCAGCCTTGTCCCTGGGCTAACCTCAGCATTCCTTGCATGCTGTCCTTCTGAAGGAGCTGGCATAAGAAAGTACCCAAAAACCAGAGTTGCTTAAAAGAAAAGTGCCCACGGAGCTGGCCCAAGGCTATCCCCTAAGGTGTCCACAACAGTGGGGCTTGAAAGCTTGGATGGCTTTTGCCAAATTGCAATGGTCCTCTTTTCAGGCCATTAGAGAAAGACTCCCTGACCTAAAGCCATTAGAAATGCACCATGACTTTCCATCAACTCTGGCTCCCTTAGAAGACTTGGCCTTTCTTCAAAAATGGAAGAAAGGAGGAAGAAGATAGGAAGCTGGGCTGGTTGAAACTAAAATCAAAGCTCAGCTTCTAGATCAGAGTATTTCCATACTAACTGTATCCTACCACAGGGTATTCCACCAGGGTTTGTCTGGAAACCTTATCCCAGGCTTTAAAGGCATATGGCTGAGGTTCCTTGAATTCTAGAAGACACTTCCTTCCACAACAGCACTTGCTATTACATGGCTAACACTACTATGCCTTATAGGACTTTATTTCTGCTCTGAAGCTTACGCTAGATACTTTAAACAACAATTGTCCCTATACTGTTATGTTCTATTCCTGGACCCTGAGGACTTTTTGCAAAGGGTAGTCAATCATCAAATCTAGGAAATGAATGAAAGGGTATGTTCTCATAGTTGGTGGCAGAGCTTGGTGGTTTCGATTTGTGTGGCAGTAACAGACAAATCTGCTACCATCAGACCAGTCACAGAGAAGCAGAGACAAATTCCAAGAGACAAGACCAGTGTCACAGGGTGGGGTGGGAGGGCAGCAAATTAGGAGAATGTAAGGTAATGGAAACAGAGAGAAGAAACTATTTCAAGAAGGAGATAGTGAAGACGTCTGTGTTAAAAGCTGTTGAGAAGATAAGTAAGATAAGACCAGAGAAGTAAACATTAGATTTAACAACATGGAGGTCATTGGAGACATTGACGGGAGCAATATCTTGGTATAATGCCTTATAGGACTTATGGGCACATTTTGGGGAAAAATACAACTAGAATAAGTTGAGAGTAAAAATACCTGGTTTACAGTAAGTGTCTGCTAAGGACTTTAAGGAGCCCTTGTGGTGCAGTGGTTAAGTGATACAGCTGCTAACCAAAAGGTTGGCAGTTTGAGTCCACTAGCTGTTCCTTGGAAACCCTATGGGGCAGTTCTACTCTGTCCTGTAGGGTCGCTATGGGTTGGAATTGACTTGATGGCAAGGACTTTATATGTATTAACTCATGGAATCTTCACAAAAACCTTGTGATATAAATTCTAACATTATTTCCATTTTACACATAAGAAATTCAGGCCCAGAGAGGATAAATAAAGCCTTAGTGATGCATTGGTTAAGAGCTACGGCTGCTAACCAAAAGTTGGCAGTTTGAATCCACCAGCTGCTCCTTGGAAACACTATGGGGCAGTTCTACTCTGTCCTGTTGAGTCACTATGAGTCAGAATCAACTTGCTGGCAACAGGTTTTTTTGTTTTTTTGTTTTTTTTGTTTGTTTTTCAAGGCCACACAGCTATAAAGTGGCAGAGCCCAGGTAGCCTGGTTCCAGTCTGTACTCAGACCCACTACATTACACTCCTCTACAATGCCTGTAGGCACCCTAGTGGCGCAGTAGTTAAGAGCTATGATTGCTAACCAAAAGGCCAGCAGTTCAAATCCATCAACTGCTGCTTGGAAACCCTATGGGACTGTCTACTCTGTCTTATAGGGCCACTATAAGTCAGAATTGACTCAATGGTAATGGGTTTAATGGGGTTAACAATACCTGTAAGTCAGTAAGATCAATAACTCCAGACAACTCTTTCAACAAGTTTGCTGAGAATGGAAAGAGAAACTAGGTGCTAGCTGGAGAAGCTGTTAGGTCTAGGGAGGGTTTTTCTTTTAAGATAGAAAATACCGATGTATGGGTTGCATGCTGAGGGGAATAAATAGAGTAGTGGAAGAGAAATTGATGATGCCGGCTCAGAGGGATTTATAAGCAGGCCAGGTGGGATGGATCCACGGTGGAGGGGTTGACCTTTGATAGGAGCTGGGCACCTTCCCTTGTACCAGGAGAGAAGGAAGAGAGCAAGGGCACAGGTGAGGGTAGCAGGTAGTTTTGGAGATGAAAAGATGAAGCCGTACTGTTCTGCTGGTCTCTATTTTCTCAGTGAAGGATGAAGGAAGATAATCATTTGAGACTGGAGAGGAGAAGAAAGGATAGGGTGGTTGAGAGAGAATTGAAGAGAGAAGAGAGGTGTGAAATTGAAATGGCCATTCTGGAGGGGGAGGGAAGAGATCACAATGAGGAGCCAAGACAGGAAGCTAAAAGAGAAAATTCAATACCCCTAAATTTTATAGCTGCTCTCTTTGTCTCTCAAATCTTTCGTGGTTTTTATTCTATGACGTTTTTCATTCTAAATCTGCAGAAAAAGAAACTGGGGAAAATGTCTGCCTTTTCTCACATTACTGCTGTGCTGGGAGCAGTTGGAATATATTTGGAAGTGATGTGGTAGTAAATCTGAAGCATTCCAGGCAAGTGGTCTGGGATTGTGCGAAGCTAATGTAAAGAGAAGTACAATCTGTATTTCTGTACCTATAGAAACTTTGTGGTTTTTACCTTTCTTCTCATCAAAGTCCATTTTTTGCTCTTCAGAATATTTCTTAAGGAGGAATGTGAAATGCTACATGATCTCAGGTGAAATTTATGTCTACCTGGATTAAATCTTTGACCTTTCCCTGAGAAATCAAAGAGCTGCAGAGAAGGCTAATACAGTGATTCTCAGACTTGAGTGAGTATCACAGTTACCTAGTGAGCTCGGTAAAGCACAGTTTGCGCCCCCCCCCACCCCCGCCGAGTTTCTGATTCAGAAGGTTTGGGGCAGGGCCTGAGAATTTCCATTCCTAACCAGTTCCCAAGTGATGCTGATGTTTCTTCACTTCTTTTTCTGATTCTGTGGTTCCAGGCACCACACTTTAAGAAACACTGCTCTAAGGCGCTTCTCAAATTTTAATATACATATGAATCACCTCCAATCTTGGGAAAATGCAGATTTTGATTCTGTAGTTCTGGGGCAGGGCTGAGATTCTTCCTTATTAGCAAGTGTCCAGGTGATGCTAAAGCTGTTGGTGCAAACTACACTTTGAGTAGTAAGGTGAGTGTTGAGACAAAGGCCTTAGAGTTCATCTAGTCTACCACCTCAGGTGGCAAAGGATTTTGCCCCATCTCACAGAACAAGGATTAGAAAGAAGATGTCTCTTGAGTTCACTGAAATCCCAAAAAATTCCTGACACAAAGATTCCTTAAACCCAGCTGCTGTTGTTAGACTTGTTGTCAATTCTTTCCCTCCCTCTGAGGCACTTTGTTATTCTGTGAAAACAATGGGAGGGAATAATTTAGTAAGAGTAATTAACACAGAAAGTGCTAGCTATGCGCTAGGCACTACTCAAGCTAAGCTCTATACAGGTATTAACTCATTTAGGCCTCACAACAACCTTATCAGGTAGCTACTATTATTAACCCCCAATTTGCTGATGAGAAAATAAAGATACAGGGAGATTAAGTAACTTACTCAAGGTCACACAGCTAGGAAGTGGAGAACTGGAATAAGAACACAGGTCAGACCAACTCCAGAATCCACATTATTCCCCTTCTTCCTATGTCAAAGGTAAAAGTTGGAAGTTCAGATGTGGGGTTCCTTGATGCTTATATAAAACGTGGTCTGCTAGGGTCCAACACAATTTTTAATTAGAGTCATTAGGCAATATGGGATCACTGAAAGAGTCCTATTATCATTTTTTAGCTGTGTGACCCTTGAGTGAGTTTCAGTTTATTTTAGTTGTCCCATCAACAAAATGAAGGATTGTACTGAATTTCTGAGTTCTCTTCCAGCTCTTAAAGTATGTAATTCTCTACTGAGTTTCAGTCACTTCTTATTCCTTCACTCATCCAGAGCAGCTACTGAAACCACATAGATGAGGAGCCTGAAAATCCATGGGCTCCAGCTCCCTCTCTCAGCAGACTAAGATTGCTTCTGCCACAGCTAAGAGAGTTGTTGTTAGTGATGAGTTAGGGCCTGCTTTAAGTGGCAGGAAATGAGGCACAGCTGATGAGAAAGATAATTTTCTAAGAAAATCCGGATAGAGGAGTAGATAGAACTTGTTGGTTCTACTCTGAATTCTACTATAGGCTGATTGGAAACATCGAGTAAGTTATATTGTTTCAACATTTGCATCTATGAAATAGAGATAATTAGGAGCATAAGGTGATTTACCTACTTAACCATTACTGAGAGCTTGGTCGTAGCTCCAACTGCCCCTGAAGGCTGTTGGTCTTTACAAAGTCAGCAGTTCCTAATTAGGAAGATTTAAATGCTGAGCTGTACGGTAAGGGCTGCACAGCCTCACTGAACCCACCTTTAAGCTCTTCACCAGTACCTTTAACACTTGATGCTGGCAGAACCAGGTATTGAATAAAGATTTTAAAGCCTAGTCGTCCTCCCTCATGCATCTGTCAGTTTGTCGTACTGTGGTGACTTGCATGTTGCTGTGATGCTGGAAGCTATGCCACCGATTTTTCAAATACCAGCAGGGTCATCCATGTGAACAGGTTTCAGCTGAGCTTCTGGGCTAAGATAGACTAGGAAGAAGGACCTGGCAGTCTACTTCTGAAAAAATTAGCCAGTGAAAACCTTATGAATAGCAGCAGAACATTGTCTGATATAGTGCCAGAAGCTGAGCCCCTCAGGTTGGAAGGCACTCGTAATACAACTAGGGAAGAGCTGCCTCCTCAAAGTAGAGTTGATTTTAATAACATGAATGGAGTCAAGCTTTTGGGACCTTCATTTGCTGATGTGATGCAACTCAAAATGAGAAGAACCAGCTGCAAACATTCATTAATAATAACGTGGAATGTATGAAGTACGAATCTAGGAAAATCGAAAATTGTCAAAAATGAAAAGGAATGCATAAACATCGATATCCTAGGCATTAGTGAGCTAAAATGGACTGGTATTGACCATGTTGAAGGAGACAATCATATGGTCTACTATGCTGGCAATGACAAATTGAAGAGGAATGGTGTTGCATTCATCGTCAAAGAGAACATTTCAAGATCTATCCTGAAGTACAACGCTGTCAGTGATAGGATAATATCCATACACCTACAAAGAACGTCAGTTAATACAACTATTATGCAAATTTATGCACCAACCACTAAGACCAAAGATGAAGATTTTTACCAACTTCTGCAGGCTCAAATTGATCAAACATGCAATCAAGACGCATTGATAATTACTGGTGATTGGAATGCAAAAGTTGGAAACAAAGAAGAAGGAAAAATAGTTGGAAAATATGGTCTTTGTAATAGAAACTACACTGAAGATTGCATGATAGAATTTTACAAGACCAATGACTTCTTCATGGCAAATACCTTTTTTCAACAACATAAATGGTGACTATACATGTGGACTACATCTGTGGAAAGAGATGATGGAAAAGCTCAATATCATCAGTCCGAACAAGGCCAGGAGCCGACTGCAGAATAGACCAGCAGTTGCTCATATGCAAGTTCAAGTTGAAGCTGAAGAAAATTAGAACAAGTCCACGAGAGCCAAAGTACGACCTTGACTATATCCCACCTGAATTTAGAGATCATATCAATAATAGATTAGATGCATTGAACACTAATTACCAAAGACCAGATGAGTTGTGGGATGACATCGACATCATACATGAAGAAAGCAAGAGGTCATTAAAAAGATAGGAAAGAAAGAAACAACCAAAATGGATATCAAAAGAGACTCTGAAACTTACTCTTGAACGTTGAGAAACCAAAGCAAGTGGAAGAAATGATGAAGTACAAGAGCTGAACAGAAGATTTCAAAAGGCAGCTCGAGGAGACAAAGTAAAGTATTATAATGAAATGTTCAAAGATCTGGAGTTAGAAAACCAAAAGGGAGGAACACACTCAGCATTTCTCAAGCTGAAGGAACTGAAGAAAAAAATGCAAGCCTCGAATTGCAATAGTGAAGGGTTCTATGGGGAAAATACTGAACGACATAGGCAGCATCAAAAGAAGATGGAAGGAATACAGAGTCACTATAGCAAAAAGAATTGGTCAACTTTCAGCCATTTCAGGAGGTAGCATATGATCAAGAATCGATGGTACTAAAGGAAGAAGTCCAAGCTGCACTGAAGGTATTGTTGAAAAACAAGGATCCAGGAATTGACTGAATACCAATTGAGATATCTCAACGAACGGATGCAGCACTGGAGGTGCTCACTCGTCTGTGCCAAGAAATTTGGAAGACAGCTACCTGGCCAACCAACTGGAAGAGATTCATATTTGTGCCCATTCCAAAGAAAGGTGATCCAACAGAATGTGGAAATTATCGAACAATATCGTTAATATCACATGCAAGTAAAATGTTGCTGAAGATCATTTAAAAGCGGTTGTAGCAGTACATCAACAGGGAACTGTCAGAAATTCAAGCTGGATTTAGAAGAGGGTGTGGAACGAGGGATATCATTGCTGATATCAGATGGATCCTGGATGAAAGCAGAGAATACCAGAAAGATGTTTACCTGTATTTTATTGACTATGCAAAGTCTTTCGACTGTGTGGATCATAACAAATTAAGGGTAACATTGGGAAGAATGGGAATTCCAGGACACTTAATTGTGCACATAAGGAACCTGTACGTAGATCAAGAGGCAGTCGTTCAACCAGAACAACGGGATACTGCGTGGTTTTAAGTCAGGAAAGGTGTGCGTCGGGGTTGTATGCTTTCACCATACTTATTCAATGTGTATGCTCAGCAAATAATCTGAGGAGCTGGACTATATGATGAAGAATGAAGCATCAGGATTGGAGGAAGACTCATTAACAACCTGCAATATGCAGATGACACAACCTCGCTTGCTGAAAGTAAAGAGGACTTGAAGCACTTACTGATGAAAATAAAAGACTATAGCCTTCAGTATGTATTACACCGCAATATAAAGAAAACAAAAATCCTCACAACTGGACCAATAAGCAACATCATGATAAACGGAGAAAAGATTGAAGTTGTCAAGGATTTCATTTTTCTTTGATCCACAATCAGCACCCATGGAAGCAGCAGTCAAGAAATCAAAAGACACATTGCATTGGGCAAATCTGCTGCAAAAGACCTCATTAAAGTGTTCAATAGCAAAGATGTCACTTTGAGGACTAAGATGCACCTGACCCAAGCCATGGTGTTTTCAATTGCCTCATATGCATGTGAAAGCTGGACAATGAATAAAGAAGACCGAAGAAAAATTGATACCTTTCAATTATGGTGTTGGCGAAGAATATCAAATATACCATGGACTTCCAGAAGAATGAACAAATCTGTGTTGGAAGAAGTGCAGCCAGAATACTCCTTAAAAGCAAGGATGGCGAGACTTTATCTCACATACTTTGGACCTGTTATCAGGAGGGACCAGTTCCTGGAGAAGGACATCATGCTTGGTAAAGTAGAGGGTCAGCGAAAGAGATAAAGACCCTCAACAAGATGGATTGACACAGTGGCTGCAACAATGGTCTGAAGCATAACAACAATTCTGAGGATGACACAGGACCAGGCAGTATTTCATTCTGTTGTACATAGGGTCGCTATGAGTCGGAACTGACTCAACGGCTCCTAACTACAACAAAGAAGTCATCCTCAGGTTGCAGAAGGATTGTGTCTCAGACTCCCAGACAACAAAAAAATGGGGAGTACTTGATTTTTCTTTTTCACAACAAGAATCTAGAGAAC